GACTGCATGAAAGTAAATACAGAGGGTTCACTGCACGCTGCAAGACACTCATAAACCTCAAGAATAAAAAGACTAGACTGGATCAAGGTCAAGGCAGATGGTCTCCTGTCCTGAGCCTGGTTCTGCTGGAGGTTTCTTCCTGATTAGCAGGGAGTTTTTCCTCTCCACCGTTTGCTCAGGATGGGAGACTGTGATGAAGTGATTCAACGCGGTCTGCGGGCTTCTTCTTTAGATTGTTCTTTTTGTGTACAGTGCCCTGAGACAACRTATGTTGTGACTTGGWGCTATATAAATAAATTAAACTGAACTGAAACTAAACTGGATTTTGTTAAAAACTTGTAAAAAAAATGTCAGCACAGTTCTGGAAGAACATTCTTTGTAGAGCTGAAACCAAGATCAACCTCTACCAGTATTCAGATCTTTTACTGCAGCACCTTTGGCAGCAGTTCCATACTCAAGTCTTTTCTGGGTTTGGTGCTACAAGTCTTGGCACACCTGGTTTGGTAGATTTTCTTCTCCTTCAGTCTGTTTCGATGGGGTTGATGGTGGAACTACTGTCAGGTCCCTCCAGAGATGTTTGATAGGATCAAGGACTGTCTGCACGTTCCCACAGCATGATGCTGCCATCACTGTGTCTCGCTGTAGGGATGGTATTGGGGCCAGGTGATGAGCAGCTCCTGGTTTCATTCTGACTTAACCTGTAGACCTTCAACCAGTCTGGTTCCTTGAGAGATCTTTAGTCCAGCCTCTCTGCCATGCAGTGCAGGTTGGTGGAGGTCTTCAGTTCTGGTTCCTAATCTTAGTCCCATCCCAGGACGTCTGAAGCTCAGAACATCAGGAAATGATTCTTACCATCCCCCAACAGTTTGCCGTGTCAGCTTTGAAAGCGATGAGAAAAGTTATTGTTTTTATGTGACAAAAGGTAGAAGAGATCAACAGAGAGACTGAATTTGTGGCTCTGGAGCTTCAACCAACCTATCTCTGTGGTGGAGACAGGGTTTTGYTGCCTTTACAAAGTGTTGGAGCAACAGTGCTCCCTTATACCACAACATGACAACACAGGTCTGTTAAATGTATAAAAAACATTGCTGTCTCTTGGCATTTMTTTTTCTCTGTTGAAAGAAAACATCTCAAGGAACAAAATGAACACAAATCTTTACTGCAGTGAGGAGCTGCCGATGTGTCAGCCACAACATGTGACAGATTTTAATTAATGTACTCAGGTCTAATCTGCAAGCTTGTGCTGTAAAAATTATTTTAAGCTTTAAAAGTGTTGTATAGAGGACAAAAAGGTCTTGGTCAGAAGTCATTCCTAAAATCAATGAGGCTGCAAGATAACAAACCTGTTTAAAGTGAGGATCTGAATCCTTTCTGAAGCCACTAACACTGCTTGTACTGTGGTGTGGTGGACTGATGAATATGTCAGACAGAATTTACACTAATGAACTATAAATGAGGGAGGTGATAGGGTCTAGTGTAGAACCTCTGGTCCAGGACTCCTCTGCAGTACGATGGCAGCTCTGTGTTTGGTTTTCTTCATGTATTCAGGGAACGTCTCTAACCTCCTTTCTTTACTTGCATGTTTGCATGCTGCCTTACAAACACAGAYGGAGATGAAGGTAACAACAAACAACATGTTGACTGTTTGTTTCTTACTCCTGAGCCTGTGCCTTAGCACTTTCTGTCTTTATCATTCCTTCCAGGCTTTAAGTCATTAGCATTTTGATTGTTTTTGCTTCTCCTTTTCTTGTGTTTTTGTGTTTACTTTGTGACAGCCCCTCTGCTGCCTGTCTCACCTCTTTCTGTTGTGGAAGATGAAAATCACATCTCTTCCCGTGTCACCCTCAGCCCACTCTTTATCTCTCGTCACACCGCTGTGCTTTCTGAATCAGACAAAGTCAACCTGACTTTCTCTCTCACAGTTTGTACTTCCTAGTGTACCCAACAGATCTGTGTATAAAGCAGGACTCATGTTGTTTCTTTCTGTTGGTTGTTGAGGCAGGTTATTTGGTGTATTTAAACAGTTTTTATATGTGGATTAAAACAAAAGAAAATGGCTTGTATGATGTAAAAAGTGAWGAAACGTAGATGAATTGTCCTGTCAAATATGTTGTTATGTTATGAACATTTCAGCTGTATCCATGTCTGTYGTAGCTACATAAAAACACAATGTTCATAATTCTTACTGCCACAAATTTAAAAACGCTGTAAAAATCATGACTTAAATACAAACATCTAACAATTGTGTAAGTACACACAGCTACGTTCTTCAGATGCAGTGCAGATGGATTATTTTTATGGTCAGGGTACCTGCTGTGGGACATCTGCTGCAAGATGGTCTCTGTTGACCAGGATTAGGGTTTTACGGTCAGGGTACCTGTTGCAGGTTGGTCACTGTTGACTTTCAGRGTTATGGTTTAATGGYCAATGGTCTCTGTTGACCTTCACAATTAGGGATAGGGTTTTATGGTCAGGGTACTTGCTGCAGGTTGGTCTCTGTTGACTTTCAGAGTTATGGTTTAATGGTCAATGGTCTCTGGTGACCTTCAGGGTTAGGGTTTTACAGTCAATGGTCTATTTTGACCTTCAGGATTAGGGTTTTATGGTCAGGTTACCTGCTGCAGGTTGGTCACTGTTTACCTTCAGGGTTAGGATATTATGATCAATGGTCTCTGTTGACCTTCAGGGTTAGGGTTTTAGGGTCAGTGGTCTGTTAACCTTCAGGGTTAGGGTTTTACGGTCAATGTTGACCTTCAGGGTTAGGGTTTCATGGTCAATGGTCTCTGTTGACCTTCAGGGTTAGGGTTTTATGGTCAATGGTCTGTTGACCTTCAGCGTTAGGGTTTTACAGTCAGTGTTCATTGTTGACCTTCAGCGTTAGGGTTTTACAGTCAGTGTTCATTGTTGACCTTCAGCGTTAGGGTTTTACAGTCAGTGGTCATTGTTGACCCTCAGCGTTAGGGTTTTATGGTCAAAGTACCTGCTGTCCGAAGTCTGCTGTAGATTGGTCTCTGTTAATCTTCAGGGTTAAGGTTAGGGTTTTACAGTCAATGTTGACCTTCAGGGTTAGGGTTTTACAGTCAATGGACTGTTGACCTTCAGGGTTAGGGTTTTACAGTCAATGGTCTGTTGACCTTCAGGGTTAGGGTTTTAATGGCAATGGTCTCTGTTGACCTTCAGGGTTAGGGTTTTACAGTCAATGATCTGTTGACCTTCAGGTTTAGGGTTTTACTGGCAATGGTCTCTCTTGACCCTCAGCATTTTTACAGTCAATGATCTGTTGACCTTCAGGTTTAGGGTTTTACTGGCAATGGTCTCTCTTGACCCTCAGCGTTAGGGTTAGGGTGGATAGATGGGGTGATTGGATCCAATGTTGATATTGATATTTTAAAGCTTTGTGATACAGTGCAGTATTTTTACATCTCCTCTAGTCACTGTGATAATGATAAATTCAACACTATGACCCAACGGATTGGTAACTGTGACTCAAAGAGTCTGGCTTCCTTAAAGGGGACCTATTATGCAAAATTAACTTTTTAAAGGTTTTTTTACTCAACTTTGGGTATGTACTTCTTAAAAAAACAGTCCTAGGACCAAAAAATTGCACCCAGGGGCATATTTACTGTAAGTAAATGTATTTTTAATGTATATTAACGACAAGTTTTATACTTCAGTCATTTTGTGATGCCACAAGCTGTACGACAACCCACCGGAACCTGCGTTTAGCCTCCTTAACTAGCAACCCCTGGGTGAGACTCCAATGGGGCAGTGGGTAGAGTGTTAGACCAGAGAGTGGGAGACCAGGGTTCGAGACCGGCACGGACACAATTTAATTATTTATTTATTTTCGTTCGTTATGAACACGTTTTCTCATGTACCTCTATTGTTTAGCTTATTAAAGCCTTGTTAAAGCCTATTTGTTCGAGTTTCTGAGGTATTTTGACCGCTGCTGCTCCCTGCACTGGTAACATCATGCAGAGTGAGCGCAGAGCAGAGGAGGGAGGGAAAAAAAGAAGAAAAAAGCTGCGACCGACTCTGCCTCTGGGTCTCACTCAGGGTCTCATATGGTTGTACAATGGAGCTTCTGCTATTATTAGCCATGCTAACGTAAACGCTGGCTTTGGAGAGCGGAGCTAATGTCAACAGATTTTTGGAGGGCGTTACCAACAGAGCTCATTAACATAAACAGCTCTTCTGAATGGAAGTCAGATCAGGCAGAACTAGAAAATGGGAAAYTTTATTATCTGAGAATTATTTTGAGCATTAAATTGAATGAGCATGGTCTGGATAGCCCACAGACATACCATAAAAATTTCTAGGACCCATAATTGGTCTCCTTTAAACAAAAACACACAACTATTCATGAAGAAATGTCTTGTGTGTAGAACATGGCAGGACAGCATCTGAACGACATGGAGAGTGTAGCAGCATCACGATTGTCTTCACACCTCAAGTTTACTGCTCTTCTGCTTGATCATCTTCTCACTTCTCATTTCATGTTCCTCCTTGACTTTCTACATGTTCTTTGTTTTCTCTTGTCTCTTATTAGATTTGGTCAAGTTCTGAACATGTTTCGTCTTGTTTTCAGTGGGACGTCGGCAGTTTGCCCGTCATGAGTGGGCCCAAAAGGCAGCCTATGTTCTGGGCTGCTCTCTGGAGGAACTGTCTTCTCTGATCTTTAAGCATCAGACCAGAGGACTGCAGCCCTCCACCTCCTTCAGAGGAGGGCCAGATGATGCTGGTCAAGGAGACGGAGCAGGTAAAAACCCATCTTTAAAGCTGACCCTCGTCTTTTTATTAGCTGTAAAAGAGTCTAAGTGTAAGTGACCTGTTGTCTGTGTCAGGCTCTAAGTTCACAGCTCTGGAGTGTTTGGAGGCCATGGCATCAGGACTGTACTCTGAGCTCTTCACTGTGGTCATCTCTCTTATTAACAGGTAAACTCTCAGCATCAGCTGTGCAAACCTCACACCAGGACTAATCCAAGAAATAAAGAATATAATTCAGTTCTCACGTAGATTAACGTGGCTGTCCCAGCTGACTGACTGTAGTCTGCACATTCACAGCTGCACACCAATGAACGCCCCCGCCCCCCAGACCCCCACCCAAAACAATAAATTAATTCTGATGACTTCTGAGTTCTGGTGCATTGGTGCTTTGCGTATGTGCGGGGGTGATACAGTATATGCTGCTGCTACGCAGTATCTAGTTTTTCCTCCTGTTTTCTTTTGGTTTTCCTCATGTTTTCCTCCTATCACATCCATTTTTTATTACATTTCCTCCTGTTTTCCTGTGGATTTTTCATCTTTGTCCTCATGTTTTCTTCCTGCTTCCTCAGAGCTCTGAAGTCTAGTCAGCACTCTCTGTGCTCGCTGCTGATTGTGGACACTCCGGGTTTCCAGAACCCCCGCCTGGCTCAGCAGCAGCGAGGGGCTACGTTTGAGGAGCTGTGCCACAACTACACCCAGGAGAGGCTGCAGACCCTGTTCCATGAGCGCACCTTTGTCCGGGAGCTGGAGAGATACAAGGAGGTGCAGAAACACAGGCACCTACTCAAACAAAGGGAATCATTTTAAAGCTGAATCTGGTATTTTCTTGAAGTCATTGTTTAGTTTAATGTGGGTCATGAAGGCAGATATGAACAATAACAGTGGTGGGCAGCGCTAATCCAAAAATTAGCTCCGCAATTTCTAAAGCGCTTGTAAAAATATTTAGGTCCACAACTTCAAAAGCRCTTATGCCATTTCATTTCATTTCATTTMAAAAAAACTCRCAGAATTTAATTTTAAAGAACAAGTTCAATTTGACACTTACTAGCTGGCAACAATTCATGTACAATATATACACAACACTGCCAACTAGTGGTGCATGAACCCTTTCACAACTTAATTCTACAACGGCTGATTGCTGAGGATGTGATTTTCTGAAACAGACCTTTAGCTCCTGGTGTAAAAATTAAAAAGTTGTTGAGGATTGCTAGTTCAGCTGCTTCTTTGTCTTTTTCTATTGTTTGTTGTAGATTTTTAATTAAAGAAGCATCAATGAAGTAATTTTAAAACTGTTTATTGGAAAAATGAAGCGATGCATTCTGGGTACATGACAGATTTGATTTATGACGGGAAACGAAAGCACGGAGTTCAGGAAACTATCTTCCCTTCAAAATAAGAGCTTGGATTTTAAAGTTTTCCATGTTTTCCAGTTGACCATTAGATGTCAGTCTTCATCAGCATAACGTCTTAAAATCATTTCTGAGTCTCTAACCCCGTTGGTTGATTGCTTCGACCAATTATGTCAAGTATTGAGCTCCATCATTTAAACTTTTGTTTCTTTTTTAAAAAGGAGCTCCGATTGTAAAGTAAAATAAATCAATACATACAAAATTTTAGTATGAATTACAAACGTTAACTGTTTTTGCTATTGCCTTCCTGCTACRTAAGCAGACACAAAGCATTGTGGGAAATCAGAACCGTGGCCGAAAGCAACAGTCAGCAGGATGTATACCTTCACAATAAGTGTGTTTATCTGGGAGGGGTGCTGTTGGACAGATCATGTGTGTTGTGACTCATTGACAGCCATACCTTCCACTGTTCAAGATAATGATGACTGGTAGATAATTAGTTATTAGCTGTACTGCATTTTAATTTTAGAAAGCACAAATCCGCTTATGAATTATAAAAATTAGTAAGGCTGCTAAAGCGCAAAGGAAATATTTAGATCMGCAGTTAGCAGATTTGTGTTTTAGCGAACTGGTGTCCACCACTGGACAATAATTTCACTGAAGGACTGCTGCTGRTTCAGGAACATTTTACAGATGATCACTGTTTTAACACAGCTCCAGAGTAAACAGGTTCTATCAGGGTCTGAGGATTTAACCCTCTACACCTGAAACTGAGCCATGATCTTCATAAACACAAGCAGAATGGTTAACGTGTAGAGTTTAGAACTTGCTGCAGGTAAACCAGACTTTTTGATTTCTCTGTCTTTACTGAATGGTATAATAATCTAAAACACATTAACTCTCCTGCTGAACTCAACCAGTGTGTTTCAGAGCGCTGTGAGGACTAACAACCTAATCAAGTCATCAGCAGTGAGTTGTTGTTGTAGTTCACTAACCTGAGCATTTATCCCTCCCTCCTAGGAGAACATAGAGCTTGTTTTAGATGACATAGAGTCCAGTACCTCTCAGTCTGTAGCAGTTATTGATCAAGCCTCAGCCCAAGCTCTGGTAAGTAGGCCTCTCCTCTCACCTGTCACTTCCAGCTGTGTGCACACCTCTCACTTTGGTTGATTTTATTGTGCAGACCACAGATTTCTCTCTCCTGTACATGTTTCACTGTGTGAGGACAGAGGGGGTCTGTGGGTGGACCCTCTGTTTATTATTATTGACATGCAATAGATGACAAGGAAAACTCTAAACTAGTTTTAGTTTTAAATGAATTAAAGTAAATATATCAATGTTTTGTGTTATTTCCTGTCCCAACACTTTGTTAGAATCAATCCAGGTGTTTTCATGATAACTGTCTGCTCAGTTTCATGATTTTATGTTATTGAAGAAATGTTCAGCCGGTCACTGACAAGGACTTTTCTGTGGGTCGGTCCCAGGTCTGTAGCCTAGCCCGGACCGAGGAGGCTCGAGGTCTTCTGTGGCTGATGGAGGAGGGGGCTGTTCAGCCTGGGGGGTCTGAGGAAACCATGCTGGAGCGACTCTTCAGCTACTACAGCTCCAGACAAGGAGACAACAAAGGTGAGCTTCTGATCCCTCATCTGGTGCCAGGCTTCATGAGGAGGGTGACTTCCTGTACTTGTTCCTGCAGGAGCCGGTCTGCTGCTGCGTGGAGAGAAGCCTCACCACTTCCTGCTGGGCCACAGCCACGGGACAGACTGGGTGGAGTACAACGTTCAGGGCTGGCTGAGCCACGCTAAGAACAATCCTGCAGCCCAGAACGCTGCCGTGTTGCTGCAGGACTCTCAGAAGTACGAGCTCGTCACGTCCAACAGCTTCACAGCTGAAACAAACTCACACTGGTCCTCATTATTCCAACCATCCTCAAACACAAGGCTTAGCTTTCAGATACACCTGAGAAGTAAATTATTTAAAAAACATTTAGATTGAAACTGTAATAGTTTATTTTTTAATGAAGCTGCTGATCCAATGGGCCTTAGTCAAGCAGGTTCTATAGAACAGCTGGAGTGGGTTAAAGCCACACGAGTCTACTGTAGAAGCTGCTACGCTAAGCAGAACAGCCAAGAGTCTGGATTTACCATTACTGTACATGTTTGTAACACAGAGCAAAAAAATGACCGATGTAAAAATCATAAACCCTATTAATAATACTGTAGTATAAACAAAAATAATATTACAGTAGTAGTTTAGAGTGTATATTATCTATTTATTGTATGTAAAACTGTCAGAAAGCTGGGTTTTATGAACTTAACCTGTAGTAGTAATATAGTAATATTGTAGTAGTAATATAGTAGTATTTTAGTTAGGTAGTATTGTAGTAGTAATACAGTTGTACTGTAGTATGTTAGTATTTTAGTAGTAATATGATAGTACTGTAGTAGTAATATGGTAGTATTGTGTCAGCTTGATTTCGTGACAAGGACATTAATGAAAAGTTAGGGTCAAGATGTCATGCTGAAAGAGAGGTCCTTCATACTACAGTAGTATATTAGTAGTAATATAATAGTAGCTATGTAGTAGTATAGTAGTTTATTTGTAGGATAGTAGTATATCAGTAGTAATATAGTAGCATATCAGTATTAAAATAATTGTATATTAGTAGTAATATAGTAGTACATCAATAGTGTATCATTAGTAATATAGTAGTATATTAGTAGTAATATAGTGGCATATCAGTAGTAATATAGTAGCATATCAGTAGTAATGTAGTATATTAGTAGTAGTATAGTAGTAGTATATCAGTAGTAGTGTAGTAGTAGTATATCAGTAGTAGTGTAGTAGTAGTATATCAGTAGTAGTGTAGTAGTAGTATATCAGTAGTAGTGTAGTAGTAGTATATCAGTAGTAGTGTATTAGTAGTATATTACTAGTAATATAGTAGCATAGTATTAGTAATATTAATTTAGTAGTCTAGTAGTTATAATAGTAGTCGGGGTACTTCAGTACTTGTGTGATTTGTATTTATTTCCTGTTTCTGATCCATGAACTTGACAGCATGATGTTTCTGTCCTTCCTACAGGAAGAACATCAGTGGTCTGTTTCTGGGCCGCTCTGGTGGGGCCACAGTGCTGTCGGGGTCTATTGCAGGTCTGGAGGGAAGCTCCCAGCTGGCCCTGCGTCGAGCCACAAGCATGAGGAAGACCTTCACCACAGGTGTGGCTGCTGTGAAGAAGAAGAGTCTGTGTATCCAGGTCAAGCTGCAAGTGGTGAGCAGCTTTTTCCTCAACACTCATCAGTGGGTTTATAGGAGACGCATGTAAAGTCTGTGTTCCAGACCAGACCTGACCTGACCAGGTCTGGAGAAGTGAATGAAGTTTAATCATGGGCTCTGTAGAGATCCAGTTCTCTCCTCTCTGACATTCTGTTTTTATGATCTGTCTGTTGTCAGGATGCTTTGATTGACATGGTGCGTCGCTCCAAAGTTCACTTTGTGCACTGCCTGCTGCCTAAAGCAGAGACAGTGGGAGGAGCCGATGTGCGTGTAACCCATGGTGAGAGTCTGGACTCTGGCCTCATGACTCTGGACCTGCAGCTCCTCAGAGCTCAGCTTCGAGGATCAAAGCTGCTTGATGCTCTGCGCCTCTACAGGCAAGGTGAGGAGAGAAACCACTCAGACCTGGTTAGTCATTACTGGCTGGAACACTGTGCATTGTGGGAAATAACAGCTGAAGAAGTCTTTGGGTTTATCCAGTTCTGAATGCTCCAGACCAGTAATCAGCTAAAAGTTCTCACTGGTCCTCAGGTAATCAGTACATCTGACCAGCAGCTGCTGGATCAAACTTACTGCAGATTTGTTTTCTTCTCACCACTTCTGTTTGTTGTTTTAAATAAAATGATGACTTTTTTGTTTTTTGTCCCCCAGGGTACCCAGACCACCTGGTGTTCTCAGAGTTCCGGCGGCGCTTCGATGTCCTGGCACCACATCTAACCAAGAAACACGGGCGTAACTACATCGTCACAGATGAGAAGAGAGTGAGTGTTTATGTGGACACAACTAGAGAGTTGTAACCCAGCCATTACTTTAGGCAACTCTCTGTTTTCCCCTTCTTTTCCTTTCTGTACATACACTAAGTACGAAATCTCACAACACTTTCCACAAGACTTTCTGGGCCTTTCCCAATCTGTGGCAACTCCCTCGCACTACCCACTCCTCACTCAGGACCAATAATTAGCACCATAATTGATACCAACATTCAAATAACTCAAAATTAAATACCATAAATCTTAAATAAATAAATGGCATCATTATAGTCATCTAMATGTACATGATCAATTTCAATATTTTTTGGTTCAGTAAAAATACACCAAACAAATATTCGTGAATAGAGTACTCTTAAAAGAATTCATTACCATATTAAAGTGTTCAGTATTGTACAATATTACACCCAAATGCATTTCATTAATGAACATTATTTGTCCTTTTAAATGTAAGGCTGTTAGCAAAAAACTAAATAAAATGTATTTGGTTTTAAACCAGTTGGTCAAATTATCCAAAATAACAAACTGTTGCATCATTAAATCATTACTCATTTGAAATATGAAAACTGGCTAACATGAAGCTGTGATTCAAAAAACACAATGTGAGTCAATGGAAAGTTAAACTAGCACCTGTGCTAAGTTAACGCTACAAACAAGTCAAACAATGGATGCTAGTATTAGCATGCTACAAACAGTACAACACGCACCAGTTTYGGTTTTGATCAGTTTCTCGAGGCTCAGAATACATCAACACCACACTGGTAGAAGTATCTAAAACCTGAGAGTCATACTACACYGCAAAAAATGTCCACCTAACCAAGTTTTAAAATCTTTTATCAGCCAAAAATTCTTTYTGATCTTGTTTTGAGACTGATTTACTAAACAAGAACTGATTGTGTAAGAATAATMATCTTGTTTTCAGAATGTGTAAGATTATTTGTCTTGTTGAGTCTGAAAATTTGACTCAAATTAAGTCAAAAATTTCTGCCAGTGGGGTAAGAAVATTTTACTTGGTAAGATTCTTGAAATACTTGATTTGACTCAATTTTTTCTTATTTCAAGAATCTTACCAAGTAAGACCACCGCACACAACTGATGCTAAACAACAGCGTGTGGCCATCTTAACTCCAAATCTCGCAGRAAGTCTCATGGGAAGTCGGCAAGTCTCGCGAGATTTCATACTTRGTGTATGAACAGAAAGGAAAAGAAGGGAAAAAACAGATAGGTGCCTGAAAAAATGGCTGGGCTACAGAGTGATCTTGAAGTTGACATTTCACATGTTCAATTCTAACTGTTTACTGTAAAACCAACAGAATATGTTAGAGTTTGGATCTGTCTGCAGTTAAAAGATGAAAACTGTAGGAACTCTTTGTTATTCGGGTTTTTTAGGTGAATATTTCGGATTAAAGTGGTGCAGTATCCTGCTGAGGCCTCCTCAGTCTAATCTCTGGTGTGAACAGAACCCTGGCTCCTCCTCAGGCTCACAGAGCGCTCTTGTGTGTAATTAATTATGATTGTGCAGGCTGACAGCATGCGGCGACTGTACTGATTAATTACCAGCTTTCTCTTCCCTCTGCTCTCCGTTTTCTCATCTCTTTCCACTTATTTTCTCCTCTCATTATCTCTCCATTCCTTTCCTACAGGAGGCAGAAGCTTCAGCAGCATTAATGTCTTAAACTGTTCAGTCATACACTGTGCTGCACACACAGGGAACACCTGTTTGTGTTGTGCTTTACATGTAAAAGACACGGAAACGAGAACTGTAGCACTGGCAGATCTGCACCCCTGGTTCACGTCATTCATTTACAATCAGTGTGTAGTTGATGAACAGAAAGTGATGTGTAATATGTACAGCTCCTCTCTTTATACCTGATTACTAAAGCTTTTCATTACGTGTGCAGGAAAAGTGGGCGTGTCAGGGGGAGGAGTCTGATSTGAGCTCAGTTCCAGGTTCATCAGGATGTATGAAGGAAAGGAGCTCAGAAACTTGTTCACAGTTTGATCAGTCTGAATATTCCTGTCTTCTTTTGTCTCTACACCAATTTAAAGTGTGAAACTCTGACACATGAGGGTCTGGTTCTTCTCTGCTGCTTTGTCTGGGCTGTGCCTGAAGAGAAGTGGAGTATGAGTCAGATAATGTCCCCATAACCCATGGGCCGCGGCCCAATTGTGGGCCGTGAGCGCCACCTTGATGGCCTCAAAAGAACAACAGTTTTAAACTTTGGGCCGTATAGGGCCGTGGGACCGCGTTGATTTTGAATAAGGTGCAATACACTTTCTCACCACTAGTGGCAATAGTGCGCTACTCAGTTGTTCAACAACTTTTTAATCTGTAGAAGAAGAACCGTAGAAACCTGCCGATAATGGAAACTTATTTTAAATGAAAAGTAGAAGCAAAAATGAAGGTAACTTGTAAAAAAACACCAAAGTTTGTCACTAACATGAAGAGCAGCTTCTGTTTTTACCATGTAATATTTTAAAAGTTCAAAACATTATCATATACAGTTCCAGATAGAACTATATTTTAATTTGCACTTTAAATAAATTTTTGTAGTTTATTTTTAAGCATTTTGAATGTATTTTAAATAAATTTTTAAATTGTCAAAAAGCTGTTGTTACTGTTATTGTTTGTCACTAATATGAAGAGCTAGCCTGGTCCGTGCCTTCCTACACAGCTCCGCTCAGTTCTAGTTTCCTTCACTGCTCCGTCTGGGACTTCTCCCATTGAGATGGATTCACTGGCAGATTTTTGTCCGGGCCAATCAGAGAACAGAACGTCGATTTTCTGCACAGTGTCTGCTTGTAGTTTATTTTACCTGGGCCAATCAACAAACAGAAGGCGGAGTTTTGAACTTTGTTGATTTTCTGCACAGTGTCTGCTTGTAGTTTATTTTACCTGGGCCAATCAGCAAACAGAAGGAGGAGTTTTGAATGATGTCAATGTTCTGCGCAGTGTCTGCTAGTTAGTTTAACAAACAGCAGTGGAGGAAGTGAATGAAGCCAGTCTGTGTTGATGAGGCTTCCATATTAAAATAAATTTGTCTGACAAAGCAGCAGCTCTCATTTACAGTCCGAGCTGAACTCGTTCAGCTCGGTACTTCTCTCCTCTCAGTAGGGTTGTTTACAGCGCATGCGATTTCTGGTTAGCTTCTTAGCTTAGCCTCCTTCACAGCAACAACACACACACTTCAGCAGAGGCCACGCCTCCTGCAAGAAATCAGTTCTCTATGCAGAAAGTCCAGACCCTCGTACGAAGCAAAGTGAAGGACAGGGTCTGGTTTTAACCAGGCTAATGAAGAGCAGCTTCTGGTTGCAAAAGTTTAAAAAGGCTATTTTCATTTGTACTTTATCAAATATATTTTTACAGATTATTTTTTATTTGAAACATGTACATTAAACATTTTTAATTTTTCTTATACCC